TTTAATATGTGAATTTTTATATTACATTCACTCTGATTTTTTCTGGAGCATATGAGGAATCGAAAGCCCTGAAGTAATCAGACTAATTAATTACATCCCAGGGAAATTTGAAAGCACACCAAATAGCTTATGTTAAGTAAGAATACTTCAATTTTGACTATAACTGATGGGAATAACCAAGTGTTTACAGGCTGTTCTTTGCTTAAATAAACAAACAAAAAAAGCAACACTACATACACAACACATGCACACACACACACACACACTAGGAGGAAGCAATGTGTGGGGAAAAAAATCAAACATATTGTAGGTCTATTTAGCATGTAGTAAGGGGTTTTAAATAAGTTATGTGAGATATTTTTAAAAAGTCAAAGGCAGAACAGGTAGCAGGCCTAAACAGGCTATCACATTTTAAAATTGTTAGCTGTGGAGCACTTTCAACAGACCCTAACCTCTTATCAGTAGGGCCCACAATGTTGCTGTGCTTTCGTAACAAACAGGGAACAATAATATGTGTATGTTCAGCACTGTCACTGAGATCTGTGGGATGCCGTGAGGCTCTCCAAGCCGGAAGCTTTTATATGGTAATGGCACCTATTGGGCCAATGTGCGCACCAATCAGAAGCGTCTGATTTATGTTTAAAGGGACTACTGAGAGAAACTGTCGCTTGGCAACCGCATAATGAAATGTTGGACCCGTGGCTATTAAAAATAGCGACTTAACCCTATAGGATATTTGTTGCATCCTGCCATGTCAAAGAAAACAGTCAGCGTCTTGGTGCTTTTCATGACAGAAATAAATAATTTAATCTAGTTGTTATTGAAAAACTACAAAATGATTTAGTTGAGACAGTCTGTCATTTGACTGGAGAGTCGTGATTTAGGATGGTCAAAAGCTATTATCCCCCTTCAAAGGAGCTGCCAATAGGCCCTAGGGTTTCACAAATTAAAGCGTCACTCAGTCACTAATGTGTGAGGCTCAGGCCATGTTCCAGGATCCAGCAAATGGATACGAGCACTTCTGAGCTGAGGAAAGACGTGACATTGGTACACACAGTGCAAAAAAACGTCCATCTTAGGAAGTCACATTTCATTTTTCTTCTGGAAACATTAAAGAAAAGCCCAATTTAAGAGATAAACTGACTCTCTTAGGTTTTCTCTTTTATAGGAATGAAAGGAAAAGTCAGCTCTGTAAATTGGTGGTCTATAAAAGCACATTTGAGTCAAGAAACAGGTTGATGTTTATTGCAATCGAGCAGGATTATTTCTACCTCAATTCTTTTCCCACTCTAGAAAGAAATGTTAGGTTTAAAAGACTTGCTGGATGAAAAGAACAAGTAGGGTTGATATTTTTGCAGCATAGTCTTGTTTAATGTCTGAATCCGAAGGAATGAACATTGGCTGGACGTGACTGTTACTGTGGAAACCAACTTTCCACTGCCCACACGACACTCCTTCATCCTCAACTAAACAGCTCACAGCCTCAATATATTTGCTGACAGAATATAGATTTGACAGCATTGATTTAAAAAAAACAACTCCACCTCCACCATAACAACTGATAACATTATCAACACTCGCACAGCACAGATGACATGCACACTTGTATGAAAGATTCGTTCATTTTAAAAAGGAAACATTTGTCACTTACAACAGTTGGTAACAGCAAAACTGTTCGCCACTTCCAAATTGTCAATGTGAGGCGTCAGTCTGAATTCTGAGGTGACAAACTGAACCATTCCTATCCGAAATGCGCTGTACTCTTGATCCGCGCCTCTTGGAAAGAGTCCCCCTGGAACCAACATACAAAAAAGCCTATAAGCTACACTTGTACAGTGTTCTATGATATGACACATTTTCAGCCGGCTATCTTCAGCGCTTTAGAGCACAATGTGACAGCTTTTCACACACATCGTTTGTCGTTTGAACTAATGAATACCTACCAATCTGAACACTGGGTGAGCCTCCAAGCGCGCATCCCCATAAAACCAGCAAAACTGAAAAGGATAAATTCACTATCTTTTCCATGTCCACGGTTTAGGTGTCCACATCCACCAGGGAGTCTGATATTCCTCGTTTTCTCAGGATATATTAGATCCGAGACATACTGAGATCTTCCGCTTTTGGGAGAAAACAAAAATAATCTTCAGTAAATGATCGTTTTTCTGCAGGTGGCTAGCAGTGAAAGGGTACCAGCAGTGAAGGAATGGTCTCCTGCACTGTCTACCGTCTCTTTTTCCGCTCCTCCTCGTCGCTACCCTCCTGCTGGCAGCTGATACCGCCTGTGAACGCACAGGGACACTGCTCGTCTCCGCTCGGCGCGTCGGGGAGCCTTTCAGCATCACACCCCACAAGTGAGAAATGTTAATGAGAGGGCGAACAGACACGAAAAGAGCCGAGCGGCAACCAGCTGGTGACAAACATGCACACCACACCTGCACCTACACTGGAAATTCCATCTGCTTATCCAAGGAGTATCGTCTTTGCTTTGTTTTATACACGAGAAGCTTGAGGATGGAGCGTTAACTGGACACTGCAGATTCATAATATCCAAGAGTCATTAAATGTGTGCAGTTAGTTCACATTTTTGGTTGCCAATAACCTTTCTTTTCCTGGTCCCAGGTTTTGAGAAAATCGATCTGCTTAAGTACAATTCAAAAGCTCACCCCCGTAGAAACTCGTGTGGATTGTCTTTTCTTGCATCTTCCCCAACAAGCTTGCTTTGACAAACCATTCTCCTTGAATCCGTTGTAGTCGCAATGAAATGACTTAAATGCGAGTGAACTAGAGTATCTTAGTCAAATCGTAGGGTCATACAGATAGAACAGCCAATAAAGGTGAAACACACACTCTCAGTAGGTCTGAAACCCCGCCCCCACTGCGCTGGAGGCCGTGGCTCTTTGCTGGACTGTGGTTAAGAGCTTGAATGCATTGCCAGTGGGTTCAAGGCAGTTTGCTTTTGTCCAGTTTAATCATATTTACTGGATTGTTTTATGGCCTTTCATTTCTAGCTTTGCTTAATGTGGGCTGAGTTTTAATTCTGTCTTTTCATTGTTTTAAGTCCCATAGTTTGTGTTACCCTGTGAATGAAAGCACACTGGGAATGTTGGAAGTTCACTCACTACTGGTGCTTAGTGGGCGCTGTTACAATTTTAAGTGTATATTTTGTTTCATTTTTTTCCCAGCCCTCCACCAGTGGGTGACAGGCCTCCTGTTTTCCTGCTTTTTGAGTATTAATTTGTGGTTTAATAAACACCAAGTATGGCAGTAACCCACATTGTGTTGGCCTCTAGTGAAGCCCCTGTATTTTAAAAGTAATAAAACCTAGTATGCAGCAGTACTAGGAGTAAAAAAATGTTTACATTTCAGCCCTGCATGTTATTTACTGTGTGCAATACTCCACACAACATGACTGTATACTGACTGTAGCTCAAATATTCTAAAGTGTTTATCATATATATGGCATTTGATTGATACTTTTATATCATTAATAGACAAAACATTTCAATCTTTAAATAATTTGTAGCTGGAAGGCAAAACACACTCATGAAAAATTCAGTAGGTCAAATAGACTGTGAATCCAATTTGGATCTGGCAGGGATCAGAGCAACGACCTCAGTTATAAATGAAACACATGTCTCTGTATACCATATGTCATTTTAAAACTGTAGATAAGTATGACCTCCACAGGTACATTGAAGATTTATATGCTAGGATTTAAAATCCTAAGTGACTCAGTATGCTGAGGATCTTTTACAGAGTCTAAAGTTTTATTCAGAACAAAGAAATCATTTTTCTCCTGAGAGATCCTGAAACATGAAACAAGATTAAAAAAAAAGATATTACTGAAGGTGTTTTCATTCTTAAGAAACATCTTGTATAATTGTTAAATATCAGACAACATACATTGAACAGACGGTACAGATTGAGGCCTTGAAATGCTTTTGAGTCTCATGAAAAACAAGACCCTTTTAAATGAAGTAGCAGCTGATATTTCTTACCAAGAAAACTCATCAAGTGCATCAGCTGGAGGCCATCACTCATGTCCAGGAATAACCAATAAATGAATCTCCTCCTTAACTTTGATCTAGCATTTATTTTCACCCTCTGCATATAAATGTATTGCAAACCTATGACTGGATGCAGGTGCTATTTCGAAGGGGGTTAAATGGAGGAGAGCTGCCTCACAGCTAACTGGAAATAAATGGCAATCTTGTCCCCTGGTTTTCTGATATACATATCTCAGCCTGCACAGACAGATGTCTATTAATCATTAGATGGTGTGAGGTAGCAGTCTGGGAGCAAAATAATGAGGCTGACAGTGAAGGGAAGCGGAGGATGGTAGCAGTCAGAAGCGCGCATGTCTGTCAGACTTCAGGACCATGGACAGCACATCACAGATAATACAGGATTATGTGCTGAATTCCTTAGCTTCTCAACTAAACATGGGTATGTAAGGGGAATTGGCTTCTTTTTTTTATAACTTGGCTCTTGTTTTACTAGGCTGGGCCATCTCTTCTACTAGTTATAATATCACTGCATGCACCAAGGTGCTTGGTAATATCTGAGAACATGTTTATGTCATTACACTGAGGCACAAGGGGCAAGAAACACAAGCAGCTGGATGATCAACCACCTAATTTGGAAGTAAACCTGAAAATGAGAGCACCTGTTATGGCTGTAATAATGCATCATTGCACAGAAAAACAGACTGTGCGACAATTCTAAGTTGATTTCAGACAGTTTTTAACAGATCTGTAATTTCCTAATAATTTCTTTATAATGTTCTTGATCAGAGTAAGTAGCTGATTGGGAAACTATGTTTTCATGGCCTGTAAACCCAAATAAACATTCATTCCAAATGTATCATGTGTTTATTGTTAGAAACTTCAATCTCTAAACACTGTTAAATCATGAAAAAAACAAACACATTGAAGCAATATTTGTTTTAAATGGAAAAAATAACTGAACACAGACTCTACTGTTCTTGCATTTAGTATGAACTTCCAAAGTTCTTACCACCAAACATCCTTGAATTGAGCAAGAGATTAGCTAAACAATGTTACTAGTGGTTTTACTATTTGCTACTACTTGTTTGCCAGAGCTGGGGCTTTGTTTGAAACATGTTTGATCATCTGACTTTGTTCAAAATTCCCAGGTCCCAGCAGTGTTATTGGCCAAAACTACAAAAATGAAACCCCAAAATATTACCCAAGGTGGATGATTGTAATGTATAGATTCAGTCAGTACACATGCTAAGGATAACATTTGGACTTCCTGAAGAATCCAACACTTTGTGGCCTGTAGAGTAAAAAAAAAAAACCCACTTCAATGATCTTTTGAGGAATGTTTAACTGCTAAGGTTTGAATGTCTCAGGAATTTTGTGCGACTGCTTCCTGAAAAGCATTTACAATTCTAACATTTTGTTGGTGCTGTTATCTAGAGTAATTTATAATGAGTAGCATTTTAGTGTCTCACTCTTCAGGGCATTTTAACAAGACACTTAGCTTATGATGGACAAACACAGCCTGTTGTTATGGGGATCTGACACAGGATCAGAATACATGCTGTATCTTAATGATTCCCTAAAGCTGTAATTAGCTGTCATGCACAGAAACTGACTAAATGATTCTTTATGTATTCTCTGGAAGTCCACTGGGAGCCAAGAAGGAAGCCTGTTTTCTAAATTAGTTTCTTCTTTCCCATATTGTTTTATTCCACATTTTGAAATTATTTTCCATTGACCTTCTAAAATGGGTTTTTGGAGAATCTCGAGAGATCTGCTACCCTACATGTTTTATTAAAAATTAACCATATTAAATGAATACTCAATCCACTTGGGTAAACATGCAAGAAAACAGGAGGCCAAGAGGCACTACAGTGCCTAAATACAAATTTCTAGTTTCCATTTTGTATCTTGGTCTCCATGTGTAGCTGTGATATCAATGTTCTGTACAGTCTTAATTATTTTCACGAAGCTCCAGACTGTAGCCTGCCCTGCATTTCTATGGAGACAACCAAACCAAACAACTGAACTGCCCTCCAGGCTCAGTTGAGGCAGTGGAAACATAATATCTCACCTGCATTATGTAACATGAACAATTCAATAAACGTCTAAGCTCACACTGGGACAAAAAATGTGAGATATATGTTATTTTACAGGAATTAGTCCACATGATGTATTGGCAGTCAATATATTTGTATATTTCTGTATGAAACTTGTAAAGAATACACTGTGATCTGTTACATACAGTAACTGTACAGTCATGTTAATCTGGACAAAAATTTTAAAGGTATAAATGCAGCATAAATGTCAAAACAACATTAAAACTAATGATTTTTCATTATTTTGACAAGGCTTTTACAATTCTCTATGCCATGCCAGTTGATCAGAATACTGAAAACAGCCGTGCCTCAGCGACTTACAGTGGCTGCTGACATGACAGTGATTTACAGGCTCTTTGAGCAAACAGTGAAAAAGGTGACGTGAATATATAACAAGACATTTGGACACACTGAAGTTGCTCAGCTAAGCATATACTACCATTAGTACAGTTCTGGGGATCTGACCCAAGGTCAGAAAGAGGGCTAAGACTGGATGTGCTTATAGCTTTGGCTTGTACCAGTAGCAATCAATCTGACATTAAAAACATTATTTCAGCTTTGGATCTGATGAGAAGGTCTAGACTAGTAACTTAAACCATTTTTAAACCAACAAGATGTAACCCTTTGTCAAAAATATTGGCAAAATATAATCTTTTTTTTTTTTTCCCAGTGACACTGCATGTCCCTAAAAGTACAAAACCATTTTGGACTGAAAGTGTTTTGTGTGTTTTTGTCCCATTTACTTAACAAAATAGCAAAAACTTAATGAGATATAGAAACATCAACCTCCAGATTCCTGATTTAATGAAAAAAAAAAAGTTCTTGAACTGGGTTCTCAGGTAGGAACGTGTGTAACTGTGCAATGTAAAACAATGTGGTGCTGATAAAGACCAAGCTGGTAAATATTATTCCTGTGTGGGGGCGACTGTGGTTCAGTGGGTAGAGCGGTCGCCTCCCAACCAGATGGTTGGAGGTTTGAATCACGGTGCCTGCAGTCCATGCGTCGAAGTGTCCTTGGGCAAGACACTGAGTTGATAGTTCGAGCCTTCGGTTGAGTTGGCGCCGCAGATGGCTGCCTCGCTTCTGTACTGGACACAAATTCCTTGTGTGTAACATACTTGGCCAAATAAAGGTGATTATCCTTATCCTTACTTACCAACAAGTGTAATAGTACAGTTTGTGTCAGGTTTGCTCGGCCGCTCTGGCCTCCCTCACCTTTCCTACTGTCTCTTGCCCATTAACACTAATCACGTTCACCTGTTCCTCACTCCCTTATCACCAGCTGCACTTGATTAGGTTGCTCACTATATTACCCGGTTTCACTCCTCAGTCACTTGCCAGTTCGTTCTAGTCTCTAGGCCATTTTTTCTCCGTGCTCTTTCGTTATTTGTATGTATTTATCCCCTAGCCAGCTACTGTTTTGTGTTCCCCCCATGGACTGTTCCTCCAGACCGTGGCTCCACTCTCCCCTCCCAGGCAGGTCAATGCTCAGTCGCCTATCTGTTCCACTATTGCCTTCATCTCTCTGTCTCTACCTTCAGTAGCCACCATCACCACCGACCAGCCCAGGAGTGACCCAGCCTACGCAGCTCGGCCCAGCTCTCTATCTCCTCACCTCCTACTGTTGGTCAACACCCGGGTACTACTCATCGACAGGACTACGCACTATTTCCCTCTGTGTAATTTGTTATTTCTCCTCATCACTGTACATAATAAATCATTGCTTGCATCGAAGTCGGCTACCTGGGTCCGCCTCTTTCTCGTTCGCTCACTGACAGGTGCAAACGGCACATAACAGTTTGTGTTGCATTTCTTAGACCTATTTTATGATGTAATCTCTTGAATCTCTTGCTGCTTAATGATTTTAGTTTGTCTTGAGCTGATTTTTTGTACGATCCTTGTTTTATGACGTTGTGGTCATGCATGTAAAATATTCATAACAATCCTTGAAATTTTGATTAGGATTGAAGACCTAGCATTGTCTTGTTTCTCTTATTGTTCCTCAGTTCAATTTTATAGTTTTTCTGCTTTTACCATAACCCTGTTTCTTTTCTCAGGTTTGGGCAGAACCAACTCTATTGATGGCACCTGTGGGCATGGCTACTTTACAGATTGGTTCAGTCTGGCTGGAACTGAGCTTTTCCCCACCTTGACTTATGACAGGAAATGGCATCCTCCACACATTTTATACTTCCATATTCCAAGCACTGCCAAAAATCTGCCACCAAACATGCACCGTGTCTGCAATGAAGTGAAAAATTGTGACTGACCCTGAATCCACTGTGGTGTTCAGAAAATGACCTATTCTGTCTCAGGTTTCAGATAAAAGTGCAAAAGCCTCTTATGAGACTGTAAACAAACAGAGTGAGCAGAAGTCACTGGGCTATTTGGGAATAGTTAATGTGTGATGTGGCTTTATAATTATACAAACTGATTCAATTATATGACAGTTTACTATGATATTAAATGTTGACATGACATAAAACAGTGATAGAAATTCAGTGTCTTTAGATAAGAAAAGCATTGCTTACTGTGTATCTATCTATTTTTGGCCTAGAATAAGGTTGTAAACGCACAGCACTGATGTGTGAAAGCCTTGCTCACAGTAAATGAGTTTCCAGTAAGTCCTGTGGCCTCTGCTCCCCCATTGTTCCTCCACTAATCATTGCCTGGCTGTCACAGTGGTTTTCTTGGTTTTCAGGGTGGCTGCCCGGTGAGAGGTCCTGTTGGATTAGAAAGCGCCCTGTGTGATATAGGTTATTGCACTGTGTTACTAGCAGGGTGCTGGGGTGTCAGGGTTGAGCATGCACACATACGAAACATGAGTCCTGGTGCTAAGGTTTACTGTTTCCCTGCACCTTTAACACATGCCTACAGATTTGTTGCCTGATTTTGTTGCAGAAAACATTTTCAGCTGACAACTAGGAACGTATCATCAGTCAGGTTTCAGAAATTAGCTATCATGTTAACATCACTTTTGGCATTGATAATTTAATGTACTTTCACCATTAAAAATGTCTTATAATCATGATTTTTGTTTCATACAAAAAAATTTGAGCATTTTATCTCCTTATACATTAAACATATACAGATTTGGCCATTGGAGGGCACTGCGATGCAGAATCTTTCTCAATTGGGATTTAGTCACAGCTGAAGAGTCTTCATATTACTCAGTATTAGCTACAAACCTTTATTTCACTTTTCATTATTTGTGTCTAACTGTAATTTTAAAGCCTTTTTTTTTTCTAAATGAGTTTTGGAATGGAATTTGTGGGGTGGGGCCTTGTTTTCTGACTTTGTGTTAACCAGAAAGATCACAACAATGACAAATTTGCTCTCCTTTATTTAAGAAATTCTGAGCTAATTTGCCCCAAACTTCATTAATATGCAGCTGTTGTCATGACATGTGATCAGCATTTATCTTGATTCATTAAGCCAATGACAGACTTCATATAAGACGTCTCGCAACAATGGTCAGGTGTCATCTTCTAAAGCAGGTTGGATGGTTGGTTTGCCAGATTAAAAGAGGTCAAGCCTTTATGGAAGAAACAGCTGTGTGATGTGCAGGAAACATGTCAGCAGAGCAAAGGGGAAGATGCTGAAAACAGCTGCAAATGGACTCAGCAGCTGCCTTCTCACTATGTAATATTTTTGATTTGATTTGATTTGATTTATTCTTTCAAGCATGTAAAGACAGTTGATATGACAACACACATAATTTTACACATATCCAACAAATGCTAATCCAATATCAATTTGCTTATACCTAGTACATGCTTGAATGGAGTAGGAAGAAGTCAGACTTATCCAGTCCTACCCCATGACATCATCTTACCATCATTGGTTTGCAAGCAGTAAATGATTCACTTCTACCCACACAAGTATTATACTAAAAAATTATTACAAAGTGTTAACATTCATACACCACACCCACAATGTTCCATCTAATTAATCATTGAGC